TGATATCTCAAACAATAGTATCTTGTAAAATTTTTAACTATTATATTATTTTTTAATGAAATGTACCTACGTTTTTGTACATTAGTTTTAATATGTATTTTTCTTATTCCTGAAATTCAGTTAATTTCAGAACTTTTATTGTATTGTCAATAATTTTTTTCATTTTTAGATTTAATTCATTATGAAATATAAATAGAGTTATTAATTTCTTATAAATTATAATTTTATATTACTTAAAATATTAATTGACAATTTATCTACTTACATTTTTATAATGGATTGATTTTGTATTAAGTTGAAAGTAGAATGATAAGTCTTGCTATGCATAGCAAAATATAGATTAAAAGAAGACTCCTAACATAATTTAATCTGTTAGAAGTGATTATGATTTAAAGTTCAAGTTAAACACTTCCACCTTTATCGAATAATTTTATCTCATATTCAACTCAAAATTTATTTTTATTCAAATTCAAAATTATATCAACTGTTGCTGCTATAATTTTTTAATTAATTGTTATTGATTAGAAGGATTGTGTTGAGCAATTCAAGCGGAGAAAAGGTGAGGATAGTTTCAGTGCTATCACATAAACTTAAGTAGTAAGCGGTTGGACATGCGATTCGATGTTAATTTCATTTTATAATTTTATATTATAAGATGAAATTTAAAAATTTTCAAAAATCATGATTTGGACTATTTTAAAATTAAAAATTAATTTACAAATTTATATTAAAATAAAAAAAAGAAAATTATATATAATAACAAACTAATAAATCAAATTAATTGTTAACATATACTATAATTTATAATAGTCAGCTATAGTTTAAATTTTTTGATATTTACAGCTATACTATTAATTTTATAGCAAAAAGTGAGTTTATATACACTTGACATATTATATGGCATATATCAAGCTAATGCCCACTTATACATGATCTTAATTCTCTCTCTTACCTTTTTTTCTCTTTACTTATTTCAAAATCAAATTAAAATCTAGTTATATTTCCTTCCCAAGTTTACTATTTTGAATTAAATCAAACTCTAATTTCAACTTCTTCCTAGAATTGTCACTCTGAAGGTGAATGTCCATCAACGTTATAATTTCACAAGATCATTAACTTCTATTTAGTTGTTTCAATTTTTTTTATTTTTTTTTGAGTTTTTTGTGGTTTTATTTTGGTATCATTGGATTTCATTGAATTTCTTCAATTTCAATTAGGGTTAATCAAAAGGAACTTCTTAAATTGATAATTTAATAGCAAAGTAGAAGAGGATTATAAGAGGTATATGATATAATGCTCATTTTCTGGATGCTCCTCTTTCTAGTCAAGATCAAGGGTGAAAGTGTGCCAAGAGAAAAAAGAAGTGTTGAACTTTCGAAATCTTAAAAAATGTCCAATAGAGGACTCTGAAAGAAGAGACATTGTATCATATCTTTCAGCAATGTATTTGTATTCATCTCTTTTGGGACACATCCATTGTATACATGTTCATTATTGAATGAAGCAATACAAAACATGTGTATATATTGTATCACATGTTGTATTCTTTGTATTCGATGTATCTTTTTGTATTTTTATGTTCTAAATATATACTTTGATAAGTTGTATCAAATTTTATTCATATTATGTGGTGCAATCGTATTCATGCATCAACCCTAAAAAAAAGTAGCACACATTCGACTAGCAATTATAATAGTAGGTATTCAAGAATTCGTAGGTTGAATGGATCAATAAATATATGTATTCGTACTTTAATACACTTATATTCTTTGTATTTATATTCACTGTATCTTTTTGTATTTTTTATATTCTAAATATATTCTTTGATATGTTGTATTCAATTTTATTCATGTGCAATTGTATTGCTGTGTCAACCCTAAAAAAATTAGCACACGTTTGTATTAATTATTAGAAAGTATAATAGTAGTTATACAAGAATTTGTAGGTTGAATAGACCAACAAATATATATATTCATACTGTAATACAACTTGTATTCTTTATATTTGTATTTACCGTATCTTTTTGTATTTTTCATATACAAAAATGTATAATACCTATATCAGTCCTGAAATTATTTGGCACTATTACATTGATGTATCAATCCTAACAAGTTTTTATAAAAGTTTGGAAAGCAATAATCATCGAATCAAAGTGGTGTGATTTAAGGTATTGTCGTTTTTTGGTAAATGGATTCTACGTTTCAAATGTCCCCAAATTTTGATTTGTATACTAGTATACCAAAAAAAAAAAAAAACTTTGAACCGTTTTAATTGATTAATGAAAAATTTAAACTTTGACGGTTATTAAATGTCACTAAGAAATTTATCTTATTTAGTGCTTTATAATTATAAATGTAGTAATGTATTGAAGAAAATTGATTGGCATAGAAAACGGCTAGATTAAGTAAGAAAGTATAGTTATTTTATTTAAATATCACACATATGACTATTCCAATTTAATAACCCTAAAATTATTGTTATTTATGTAAGTTGCTCTTTAATGTATCGCATGATCATATGGATTCTTAGTTACAATGTACTACATTTTAGTTTGAAAATGTTTTTTTATATGCTATCAAAATTACGATAATCAAATAAATGATTTTTATACTTTTTTTATTTAAATAAATATGCAAAAAAATATTGTCAAAAATATAAATTGTACATCTAGAAAAGTACAACACTCCTCATTCAAATGGATGATTATTTAAAAAATCTTAGGATATTGATTTGTCTAATATATATTTTAAACAAATAATAATAATTAAAAAAAAATTACTTATATTAAGGGCAAAAGAATGAAAGAAAAAAAATGAAAGGAGTCTACAGAAATGTCATAAGTGTATTTTTTTTTAAAACCACATATTTATCTTTTAAATGTGGTTTTTGGTTAAACTTGAAGAGTCTCCTCTCCATATCAATTAATGATTCTCATCAAAGTCAAATTTTATCTTGATTGAAATTCAATTATTTGTATGTTGTCATGAAATTATATAATAATAAAAAGAAAATAGAGAGGAGAGGTTTATTAATTTTCTTGGGAAATATATTTAGAGATTCATAGATCCGATTTATAACGAAGAAAAATCTATTTATTTATAGGAAAAATCTAACTTGATTCTTATTGTGGACGCATTTGTGGGCAAGATATATGTGGGACAGAGAGACAAATAATTTTATTTAATTATAACACTAGTAGTTTTCTTATTATTCTAGAATAGAAATAATTTAATTATATTGTTAGTAGTTTTCTTATTAGTTAAGAATACAATTTATGTTTCCTAGTTACATAGGACTTCCTATAACTATAAGAAGACTCCTATTTATAGGAGGATTTGAGGAATAAGAAGTACACAGATTTTAATCAGAAAACAAGATATTGAAGTTCTCTTTTTCATTGATATCTAAGGTTTTAGCTTTCCTTTGATGAGCTGAGTTCATATACAAAAATAGGTCGATTTAGGAATTTGAACAAAAGCAAGGGAAAATCAAAGGCAGTTGAATTTGGTTTTTCTGTTCATCGTCCCCTAACTCGATCCTTCTCTAAGAATCCTAACAATTTGGTATAAGAGCCTAACACAATGGGATGAGATCAATTATAGGTTTCAGGAAGAACGTGTGATAATAGAAATACTAATAGACTCTAAACTTGAAGCAATGAAACAATGTCTCGGTGAAAGGATTCTCCAAGCTATTCAAGAACAATTAGCTAGCTTGAGAATTGACTCTACAAAACTAATAGTCCAGGGACAGAGTCCAATAGTGATCCGACAACAATTGGATCAACTAATTCGGCTCTTAGAGGCAATACACTGCATATTCATCCAACTGATAAGAATTATCAAAGTAGTGGAAATTGCTATTCAACAATACCAAGGTATGCAAGGATGAATTTTCCTACTTATGATGGCACTAGCAACCCATTAATTTGGGCACATCGTTGTGAACATTTTTTCAAAAATCAACATATAGCAGATGCAGAAAAGGCTGGAGTTGCTGGGTTTCACTTGTTAGGAGAAGCAGAATTATGGTACTATCAGCTTAAACGAGCGAAGGGCCCAATGAGTTGGGAAGATTTTCAAAAACGATGTTTTCAGCGATTTGTACCTCTTGAAAGCAACAACCCGGGGGGGTGAATTGATCACGATTCGATAAACTAGTACAATTGAAATTTATCAACGTCAATTTCAAGAAAAGTTGGTTACAGATGACGAGCTTATTCCCGAACACTTGCACGTGGAAATATGATGAGCTCTCCCTTTATACAAACACAAATTATACAAATATAAATATTTTATAAAGCGAGAAAGAGATTTGATATACAAGTATAAATATTTAAACTCGGCTCTACAAATTTAAATTTTATGCAGATATACAAACACAATCATTGATACATAAACATAGTAGAGGACATTTACAAGAATTAGATGATTTTCTCAATTTTTTGTGTGTATTAGCCAATGAATATTTTGGTGGTCTGGTTTTCGATCGAATTTTTTTCGCGAAACCTTTATGGAACACTCTGTAGAGAGTTGGGGAGTAGTACATACAGTTTCACTTTTTTTTGAGGGATTATTGGGCATTTAGGGTTAATTTACAAGTATTAGGTGATTTTTTCAACTTTCATGTGTATTAGTTTAAGAATATTTTGATGCTATGACTTTGATTGACTTTTTTTTTTTTTCAAAACTATTACGGAATCCTCCGTCAGGAGTTGGAGGGAACAATACATGCATACACTATCTTTGAGGCATTTTGGGGCCAATTTAGTGAAATTACACAATTTTTTTGATTTTTGTATGCCATTTCATAAATATTTTAGTGATATGATTTTCAATCGATTTTTTTGCGAACCTTTATGAAACCCTTAGTAGAGAATTGAATTAACAGTACTTCTTACTATATTTTGAGGCATATTTTGTCATTGAGATCAATTTACAGGACTTAGCTGTTTTTCTTAATTTTTAACGAGTGCCCTCATAATTGGAAGCGCAAATTTATACATCATTAATACAAATATTTAAAGAGAAGCTCTAATAGAGTTCGTTATTTGTATATACATTGGAAATTACAAACATACAAACCTTTCACAACAGCTATTCTTCAGCTTATTGCCTTACATAGCTCAACTTTCCCATACTTTTACAATTGAAGAAGATGAAACTGAAAACCAACCAAATAAAGAAAAAGAAAATTACATTTTGAAAAAACTGAACAACATATAACATATTGTTTTCACATCACTATTTCTGGTTTTAGGATGCTAGATTTGATCTCCTTGTGGGGTAAGACTACTCCACCATTGCTGTAAATTTCATCACAAACATGAACATCTTCGCCAAGAATGGTCATATTCTCAACACGAGCCCATTGTCCAACGGTTGAGTGCCAACCGATAATGCTACCTGAGACGCATGCGTGCTTCTTAACACGGACTCCGCGCATCACAGTGCAACGAGAGAGCCTAACCCCAGACTCAATCACACAACCAGGGCCTATCGCAACATCTGGTCCAATCAAGCATCCTTCTCCAATTTTGGCAGTCTCGTCCACTATGACATTTCCAACAATGTGAGAACCTAATGCCAGTTTTGGTGAAGACCTCTTCTTCAAAGAATCTAGGTAGAGTCTAAGACCGGTGATGTAATCCCTTGGCTGTCCAACATCCATCCAAAACCCAGGAAGGACCATAGCGTATAGCTTTTTCTCGGCAGCAATATTTGGGAAAACCTCTTTCTCAATAGATGTTGGTCTTAATTGAATTCTCTCTAGAACGCAAGGATCGAGCAGGTAAATGCCAGCATTGATCTTGTTGCCAACAAATAACTTAGGCTTTTCCACAAACCTCTCAACTTGGCCAGTGGATTCTTCCATGACAACAACACCATATTTGGAAGGCTCATCCACCTGTATCAACCAGTTATATTTACATATTATACCCATCATCATCCTCATAAATCATGGAAATTCAAACGGAAAATATAACTAAGAACTCACCTTAGTCACCATTAAAGAAGCCTCCCCTCCATGGGATTTGTGGAATTCAATCATCTCCTTGAAAGGATACTCACTGATAACATCACTGTTAAGAACAAAAAACGGCTCACCAGAATCATCTACCAGCTTGTCTCGAGCCAGAGCAAGGGGACCTGCAGTCCCAAGTGGTTCAGTTTCTTGAGAACATGTAATCTTAATCCCCAGTTTTGTCTCAAATTCTTTCAAGAAGTTCAGCATCACCTGCGTCAACCAACATTTATATATTCTTTTCGTTGCTCATTATATATTTACAATCTCTAATAGAGAGAAGCTGACCTCCGGCTGGTAGTTTATAGCTAAGACCACTTCAGTCACTCCAACAGCCTTGAGAGCCTCGATCTAACATACAAAAGTGTTTAGTAAGATATGCTTCAGCATAATTTATTTTTCACCAGCAAAATAGGAAAGGAGAACATATAGAATGCGTGCAAGGCACAAGTGAATTCTTATTTAGATTTTCCATTCCCCTTTAGGATCATGTCCTAGCAAAGGCAGGGGTGATTAAGCCCTAGATATTCCAGGACATAGGACACCTGAAACTTTAAAATGTTCGGTGACAAACAATCCAATTTTCTAATATAAAGTCCAAAACGGAACATAAGCTGAAGTTGTAAAATTCAAATAATCAACTAAAAGGATAGAAAACAATATCAGGAATCTACTTAAAAGGCGCATTTCTATGAGGAGGTTTGATATTAGAATGATCTTTATTAAAGAATCATTGCTATGACTGTAAATTAAACGAGGCTAAAACAGGAATTTTACCTGATGCAAAATCATGGGCTTGTTTGCAAAATCAACCAGTGGCTTTGGGACACTAAGAGTTAATGGCCTCAACCGGGTACCAAAACCTCCAACAAGAATAAGTGCCTTCATCCTAATTTCTCAAAACTCCTGCTAATAATAAGACAGAATTTTTAGCACAGTTGATCAAAACATGTTACAAAAGAAAACATGTACTGAATTTATAAAAATGGACTCTCTCATCTCCACATTTATATCAATCCAAAAGAAAGATACGTGCAAGACTACGAAAACCTTATATTGACATCCGTATAGAAGAAGAAATGATTACACTCACCTAAATGTAAAGTGTTGTACATGACATGTAGCTTATAAAGAGAGAGAGTCACACATATAATGTTCAATTAGGAGACCCATGAAAGTGGATTAAAAGTGAGAGATTACCGAAAGTTGAAGACAATCACAGCAAATGGCCAAACTTATACATGAATCTTCAAATGAGCTGAAGTCATAAAGTGGTTCTAAGTGGAGTATTTTACTGGAAAAAAGACAAAATCCCAGCAACACTCTAGGCTGGATCACTTAATGAGAGTGCCAATACATCCAATATTTTAGTACTATATGTTTTGGTAAATTGAGTTGCCTAACACAGTAAAATTTTACAATCACAGACTCAAAGTATATTACTCCCTTCGATTCAATTTGTTTGTCGAGTGTAGGTCTCTTTTTTTCTATAACAAATCCTTAATTTCAACATTTTGATACATTTTACATATATTCCACAAAAATTCAAAAGGGTATTTTTTTTTTTACTTTCTTAAATTTTCCGTGTCAAGTCAAAACCGCACAAACAAATCAAAACCGAAGATGCTACTCTCTTCTATGTCTCCTCAAAAGAAATTAGTAGAGAAGAAGAAAATCACAGCATCAGCAGGGAGGTACAGTTGGGGGGGAAGGAAAATAAAACCTCATTCCAGCTGTAATCCTAAAGAAACAAATAAAAAAACCAGAAATTGGGGAATTGATAGATGATATTGAAGTTTTACAAGAAGACAAATAGGATTACATACAAATCTAACATCTACCCAATTCAAAATACCTCACCATATGGAAAGGGGATAAAGGCAAAGGACAAAAACAGAGCATCACAACATCCACATTACACATTAATTAACTCTATATCTCCAGTCTGAAAACCTATGAATAACTCATTAATGAGACGAAATAAATAAAATAAATTTAATTTAATAGTTCATAAAAAAAATAATTCAACATACGAACAGGATGGATAAATGAAATCCAGATCCAGATGAAGATGTGGAACAATGCACAAATTTAGAAACAGAACGTGAAATTCACCTTGAACTAAATCACCTTCCAAGACTGGAGTTGACTCAAGTCAAGCAAAATATTGATAGATCACAAACAGTGACGGTCGGGTTGTGTTGTAGAAAAGCCTAGATAAAAAACAAGATAAATCCTACACCTAATTTAAGTACTAGTAATTACTAAGAATTTGATATTTTTAAATAATACTTTTTCTATCATATTTCGTGAATATATAATACATGATTTAATTCGTAAGATATATGTATTTTTCAAATTTTAAAATCGATATATAAGGTGTTTACAGGTCGATTTGGATCGATTATTGATCAAAATCAAACCAAACCAATTTAATTGGTTTTAAAATTATCAAAATCAAATCAAATCAAATATAATATAATATACATTTATCGGTTTCGATTTGGTTTGCTTCGGTTGTTAACCATATACAAAAATAAAAGAAACAATTCATTCAAAATATGAAAAAGTAACAACAATTCAATCAAAACAAAAAATAGTTAGAATGACATAAATTAGTGAACTTTCGATCACTAAATTTACTATCAATAAAGTTTTAAAATTCACTATATTGTCCTAGAAGGAATAGACAATAACATTTTCAATTTTAAAAAAAATTGTCATAGATACTCATATACATGAAATCAATAAGATAAATGTTTTCATCTTGGACATTTTTGCTTTCAATAAGTAAATATAATGAAAATATATAGGGATAATGCACAAGTACCCCCTCAACCTATGCTCAAAATCTCATAGACACACTTATACTATACTAAGGTTCTATTACCCCTGAACTTATTTTATTAATAATTTTCTACCCCTTTTTGGTCTACGTGGCACTATCTTGTGGGCCCAACGTTGGTTGACTTTTTTTTCAAGTTAATGCCACGTAGGCCGAAAAAGGGCAAAAAATTACTTATAAAACAAGTACACGGGGTAATAGGACCTTAGTATAATATAAGTGTGTTTTTGAAATTTCGGGCATAAGTTGAAGGGGTACTTGCATTTTCCCTATAATCTATTTCATATTTTACTTTTAATTATACATCATTTGTTTTTTTTACTATCTCAAAATCACATGAATCTAGCATGTTGTTTTTACTTTGAGCAAACTCTAAATTTGATCACTTAAATATTTAAAAAGTAAGATTAGATTCGGTTCAGGTATTTCTTCGAATAAAATCATAACCAAATCAAATAGTATCGATTTTTAAAAAAAAATAAACCAATCAACAAATAAAATCGATTTTATTTTATCAATTTAATTCGATTTTTCATTTTGATTCGATTTTTATCCTAATCGTGAACACTCCTACCAATATATATATATATATATATATATATATATATATATATATATATATCATTTGTTTAAATTAATTAATTATAACTAATTTCCTTTATCAAGTGAGTAATTGAGAATTTTCAGAATATATTAACAATTATGCTTTAAAATTTAAATTTACCAAATCACTTAATATAGGGTAAAAATAGAGAAGTGTATTTATGTTTAATTATTTTCATTTTATTATTTTTTGAAATAATAAATTCATTAATATTATTTATAAAAATAACAAATTCAATAATTTTATTTATCTATCATCCGTATACGATAGATCCAATAAATTAAGTACTTAAATACATGAGTATCATATTACTAAAGTTATATGTTTCATAGAAGTATCTAATATTAACTTCATATATTTGTTATATGCATTTAAATTTCATGTATTTGTTATATGTATTTATTATTTCATGTATTTGTTTATATGATATAATATTAATTTTATGTATATATTTATACGATCTGATATTACTGTCTCTATTAATTAATTATAACAATTCCTTAATCAGATGAGTAATTGGGAATTTTCAGAATATATGGACACTAATTTTTTAAAATTTAAACTTATCAAATCACTTAATATAGGGCAAAAATAAAGAAGTGTATTTATGTTTAATTTATTTCATTTTATTATATTTTGAAATAATAAATTCATTAATATTATTTATAAAAACAATAAATACAATAATTTTCATATATTTGTTATATGCATCTAAATTTCATATATTTGTTATATGTATCTAGTATTTATTTCATTTATCTATCTATATGATATAATATTCATTTTATTTATCTATTTATACAATCTAATATTACATATATCTATAATTTGATGTATTATATATCATTTTCGTTCGTTATATTCAAAAAAATGCGTATCTCCAATAGATAGTAAACATCTCTATGGAGCTTAAAGGTCCAAGACCAACAGAAAGGAAACAAACTACAAGAATAAAAAATAAAAATATCTGGAAAATAGCTCAAAGTGTTCTCATCTTCTTCCCAAATTCTTGATGTGTAAATTCATGGAGCTTAATTCTTGCTTCCAACTATGGAGTTTAAAGGTAAGCTTGTTACACTTCAAATAGTAGACACTTTTAATCATTTTGCTACTTTTCACTTTACTTATGTTGTTGCATTTGACTTTTTGTCGTGGCGAATATGTGAGTTATTCTCGAGTTTTCAAAAAATCCGACTAATACAGATTTTGATCACTATAATTAAGAATCTCTTGTTGCTTCAATTGATATTTTGCTTATCTCTTAGTCTAAGCTTTCCAATATGTAGTAATTTTCTAAAAAATCAATGGGTTGTGAACGCAATGACCCGAAGATACGACCAACTCTAAGCTTTTTGTAGCTTTTGCAGCACCATGATAAGACTGAAACTTCAATCTTTAATATTACCTTAATATTGTTTTCTTTTTTTTAAGGGATAATGCACAAGTATCCCTTCAATCAATGTCCGAAATTTCTGAGACACACTTATACTATACAGACAATTGAGGATATTTATATCGCATATCCTTCTCGATCTCCCAAGTAGCTTCCTCAACTGGACAATACTTCCATTAAACCTTCACAAACTTAATCTCCTTGGTCCTCAACTTGCGCACATCACAATCTAGAATCACAATTAGTTCCTCCTCATATTGGAGGTCCTTGTCTAACACAATTGAGTCCCACTTAATGATGTAATCCACATTACCATGATACCTCTTCAACATGGATACATGGAATACCGGAAAACACTTTGACAAATTTGAAGGTAAAACCAACCTATACACTACCGGTCCCACACATTCAAGACTTTCGAAGGGACCAATGTACCTAGGACTTAGCTTACCCCTCTTGCTGAATCTCATCACCCCTTGTATCTATCTGTTTATCTATATATATATTTTATAAAAACTAAATTGTTAGTAGCTAAAATAAAAATAAATCTCAAAGATGCACTAATAAAATTGATACATATACTAGATGAATATGACTATTAAGCAAAACTGGACAGAAATTTACAAGAAAGGTGATGTGAAATAGGATTTTGGGTTTGTATTATATATTATATATTGTTATAAAGGTTTAAGAAATTGAATTTAATTTAGGCGTGAGAGTAATCAGGTAGCAAGCAAGAAGAACCTCTGCCTCTTGCTTTTGATTCGAAAATTGGAAGTAGAAGGGGAAGTAGCAATCCTAGCAAGCAACAGCCTAAGAGAGTGTTTGATAGAATGAGTAGTGCAAACAACATTAATGGATTGAAGGGATAAAATGCATTTAATTCTGCCACCCAAACTAGTTATTTTAGCCTCCATTGTTGTTAGTTTCAGGTTCTTGAGACCCCTGTTTAGTTCTGAGAACAATTCAGGCCGATCATCACACGAAAAAGAAACCTTCACAACTATGTTGTTGTTGTTGGAACTTTCATCTTCTTCCTCAATTACTACTTCATCAATGTCACTTGGAGTGTTCAATACATTGCTCATTTCTTTTGCTTTTCCTTCCAGATCTTTAACATGCTCAACAACACTTCTTAGTAGACCTGCCTTATCCATCTGCAACTCAAATTATGTATGAAAAACTGACAAATATAAGAAATTTATGTTAACGAAATTCAATTAAATACTTGAAAGTCATATGGATTCGAACTTGTGACCTGAATCCCCTTGCCAACAACATACCAAAGTAGGTAAAATATATGCAGATGGAGAGGCCCCTTATTATTGCACTAAAATTTTCTCAATTCAACTGTTTATCACAAATTATCAATTTTTATTGGCAAGTAACACTTTTTTAGCAATATTAGATTGAACGACAATTAATTAATATCATCAAAGAATTCAACACTCTTTAGTAATGAGTATATTTATTGCGGCTAATAAACGCTTTTGTTTCAATTTTAAAAGATTTACCTTTTCAGAAGTGGGAATGAGTTTTCTAAGAGTAGAAAGCTGAGCATTAATTCTGTCTCTGCGCCTTTTCTCAGCTTCACTATGGCTCCTAGAAGCAGAAAACTGTTGAGACCAACAACAAGAATTAGTAGGAATCAATGGAAGTTCTTGTAAATTATGACACCATGATGAAAGAGTTTCATGAGTGTATTTAGAGCAAGAGGAATCATCCATCATCTCTCTTAATTGTATGGATCTTAGCATATCTTAGTGTTTTGATTTAAAGAAGGTTGGATGACACTGTGTATGCCACTAGCTAACTTTCAAGTACTGATGGTGATGTGTGTGATATCTAGTTGGAGTTACCTTTATTTGGTCAAATGAAAAATCATATTTGGCCTCATCACTTATCATCATGTCATTTCAATCTTTCACCCACAGACACTTAGATGGGCAGAGTGCATTTAAATTTCAAGGCACCATTTACACTACAATTTTAGGTTTGCCCTATATAATTTTTTACCCTTGTTTTGCCATATAAAGTCATGCACTTCATCAGCCTTCAAATTTGCTACTGGTTTAAATAAGAGAAAACTTCTAAAATACCAAATAAAATAGACATAATAAGCTTCTATAACTATAGTTTTGATAATTGCGCTCTATACCTATATTTTGTTTGCAATGGCAACTTTATTTTATATATTTCACTTGCGAATATACTTATAGGGTAAGTATATTCAAATTCTGTATTTCTATATTTAGGATTTTTTCATAACTACATTTGTATATTTTGCTTGACAAATAGGATAGTTAATTACCATTTTTTACAAATTGTATACAAATAGCTAGGGTAAGAATACACAATATTATAGATTTGTACAATTAGAAACCGAATTACTCAACTCTGGATTTATATAAATCAAGTGATTATACAGATAAGATGAATAACAAGAAGTGG